GGTTCTCGCCTTGCAGCAGCAGCATTCTGCTTGCACCATGAGTCACTGCCACTTGGGCACAAGGTGTGGTTGGACCTTTCATCAGTCGATGTCACATGATAACATGTGGCCATGGCTGCCCGGTGCATTGCATCTATGTCACCAACATTGGACTTCAGAGCCCAGCCATAGTATTTTGACAATTTCTCTGTGACATCACCTGTCAAGCGGCCTCTTCCACTTAGAGTTTCACCAGAACCTTTCTGCTTTTGAACAAGATTGCATAGTGCAGTACCCATTCGTTTTTGGACATGGTTTACACAGTCCTCTTTTTGAACCTGTATGAAACCATAAACTGTCGAGTCTTCAACAGCATGAAATGACCTACTGTTCCCATCACACAGCATCACTGTGTACCACAAGCCGTGATGGGAAATTGAGCACTCAAAGAGAGTGACTGCTGCCTCCACTTTCATGTGTCCTGGTTTGCACTGTGTATTTTTCTGGCAGATGTGGGATGACTACAAAACTAAGTAATTTGGGTGCTCCTTTGGTGGTCGTGCTTGCAGCCGGCACAAAAATTTGACAGGACAACGTAGTATAAAACATAGCCAGAAAACAATTCTTTAACAACACCCATACCAATGTGCGACAGGTGGTCTCTTGTCATCCATGTGCCATCATAACAGACGGCCACATTACCTGGGTTGTCAAAGCACAGATCTTCGTATGTTTTCACTGACATGGTGCTATCAGAGAGGACCTTGTCTGCAGCTCTTGTTGCCACAGGATTTAGTTTAATTTTCAAAGGGCTCTGATAGCTTTTGTAATGAAGTCTCCTATGAAAAATTCCTATTACAGAGAAGATGTCGTTTAGGGCTGCCTGGCCATTCCCTGTGCTTTGCACGGCACAAGACGCACGGGTATTGACTTCAAATGCAGCGCATTTAGCCTGACGTGGTAACCTTCCAGAGCTCCACTCACTGTCAACAAGTCCATAGTTGCGGCACTCTGAAATCAGCTTCATCGCAAGTCCATATTCACGCTCACCTTTTTCAGTAGAAATGGTCTCACTGCATGTCCGGCATTTAGCCGTTCTTTCAAGAAGCTTGTTTATCACGGATAAGTCGACGATACCGGTAGGTAGCCACCGCCGGGTACGAGTCCTCGCGCGCTGTCGCGAGCGTTCACAGCTTCCGCTCGCTCGCCGAAGTTGCCAATAAGCTGCTGATCTTATCAGCACTCACTTTCTGCTGTTGCGCACGATCGGTGCTTAGCAGAAAGGTTGTCTTTCCTTATGCGCTGCCTACCACTGACGTCGTTCCAGGAAACAGGCGGAGATGCCGGCGTTTCGTCCGACGGATCATGTTCCGTCACCGCGCTGTCCTGTACTAGGTGCGCATCAGATATACCCGCGCCATTGTCTCTCTTTGCCATAGATTTCTTGCGTTTTTTTTTTTTTTTCAAACTTGTGAGCGGTGCGGATCATGCGATACGGCTTCGGCATGATGAAGGGTTGAAGCGAGGTTCAAAACGTGGCCGAGAGCGTAGGCCTAACGTACTAACCCGGTGGCTGCGGCGCGCTTCGTCGGGCTGGTTCGGCGGTGTGCCTGAATGTGCAGACTTAAGAAACGCTTGCTCTAATTTCTCTCTAGCTCGCACGGGTTCAGGAAGCCGACGAGAACAATGACATGTGAGCGAGATACACTCGCTGCTTCACGTGCGCTTTACTGCCGCACGCAGCAGACGGCTTGGGAAAACGCGACCAATAGCGTAGGCCTACCGCACTGTCCCGGCGGCTTCGTCGAGCTCGTTCAGCGGCGTACCAGTATGCTGTCGAACGTAGACTATATATACAGAAATGCTTGCTCTAATTTCTCGCTAGCTCACGCATGTTCAGGAAGCCGACGAGTACAAAGTGACATACACTCGCCGTTTCACGTGCACTCCGCTGCCGCCCGCAGCAGACAGCTCGAGAGGCCCGGCGAATCGGAAGGCGCGATTTAGTCACGTGTGCTTACCGCACCATTAGGCTCACGCGACGGGGCTTTTTTTTTTACACGTATTCACGGCGTGCATGCTGAGTGGAGAAAAACAAGCGCGGCGGGATATGAAAGAAAAAGGGCGGCTCTTTCGAATGCGACCAATACAGCTGCTGTAGCAAGCGTAGAACGGCAACACCGCGGCGCTGAAAAAGCCCTTTTTTCACGCGTTCATCGCCGAAAATTCCGCTCATTAAGGTCGTGTAAACTATTCTCATGGCTAAATTACCAACCTAGGACGTGTGAAAATTAGCGAGATTATGGAGCGATAGTGAGAGAATCCAAATAAAACATTTTCGAAAGCCGTATTAATTATTGATTTTTGGTCTCAAAGATCCGCTTCTCCCTAAACAAAAATATTATGCCTTAAAGACAAGTCTGTCGCAATAAAAAAACACTGAGCAAAATTTGCAGTGTCCCATTAGTGCTAAAAGCCCGTTCTACATCTCAATAGACTTTTCCGTACGACATAAGTGCACTGCGGCGAAAGTGGCTCAAGCAGCATTAGAACCAAAGCCATGACATTTTCTGACCGCTACACCACCACCCCACTTCCCACCTTTCTTTTTCTTTTTTTTTTTTCTGTGGGGTTAGGTGGTGTTTTGTCTTCCTTGCAAGGGGCGTTCGACCAAATAAAGTAACAACGGCGCGCGCCCGTTGGCCCAGCGACGGTATAAGATATCTATCGCCAGGACCGTGGTAGGGACGACACAACTTCTAGACAAAAATAAATGTTTTATGTGCCATTGCTAGGGCAATCAACGCGGTCGCTGGCAACGGCGGCGTTCACAGCAGGTCAAGCTTCTTTGCGCGAGAAAAAGTTACATGTCCTACGAAGCGATTGTGGCCACAGCAACGCATTTTGTCTTGAAGTTCCTTCATCCCACCGATAGGTATTCGCTGAAGTCAGCAGACCGCTGGGCGCACAGTGTTGTTACTTAATCTGGTCGATCGCGTCTCGCGAACGTAGGGCATGTGCCTAGAATATTTCAAGTATATTCTAGGAACTATAGACCTTGTGCAAAAATGCTGCCATCTGTCAGCTGTTGTGCGCACAGGTTCGCACGTGTCTACGTAGACGTATACGCAAGGCTCATCGATGTGAGGCATGTATTGGCTGATAATTGCAATGCTGACGTATTGCTGCTTCTCTTGCAGCACACAGAGAGGAACTCGAAATGCTTAAGGCAAAAAGGTAAGCGTAAACTTTGTCCCATGTTTTCTTTCTTTTTCAAGCTCATGGTGTTTCCAGCATGAGCTCCAGTTATTGCTCCTGAAGCACGTGTTCGCGTTTTTTTTTTTTTAAGCAAGTAAGACGTGTGTTACCATAAATTGCTGCACGTTGAAGAAAGGAAGTTTTTGCAACGTTTTTGCTAGCAACTATTTATCGAATGAAGGCGACTCGTACGATTTACGCAGGAGCCACTTTCACGCAACGGGCTTTATGGCGGCTAATTGCGCATGCCTGCATTTCGTTGCATGTGCCGAGCACATCTTGAAAAACATGCGCAATCATGCGCAAGTCATCCCCCTAAACGGCAGCTTGTAACACTTCAGAAGAGAACACGGAACAGCACGAAACAAGGATGCTTCAGCACCGTTTCTCTCTTTTCAGAATAACCCAATGACACACACTTGCTTCTAATTCTGCGTGTGCCGTTACCCAAACGTACTAAACAAGACAAATTTAATGAAATGTAGGCACACGCAATTAGCTGCAATAAAGTTCGTTGCGCGAAGGTGAATTCAGCATCAAACATAGGAGTTGCCTTCACTTTGTAAACGGTTGCAAGCGAAAACGTTGCAAAAACTCGCTTGCTTCGATGTGCAGCAATTTATGGGAACATGAATATAAATGCACATCTTACTTGCTTAGAATGGCGAACGCAAACACGTATTTCGGGAGCAGCAACCTGAGCTCATGCTGGAAATGTCATCAGCTTGAAAAAAAAAAACAACAAGGGACAACGTTCACGGCTTACCTTTTTTTCTTTCAGCATTTTGAGTTCCTCTCTGTGTGCTGCAAGAGATGCAGCAATACTTTGGCATTGCGATTATCAGCGGAGCCTCTAACATGGCGGCTATGCGCACAACAACCGACAGATGGCAGCAATTTTGCATAAGGTATGAAGTTCGGGTCTGCCCACTTTGACTGATGGCACAAGCTGCAGGTGGCTGACGTGGGCTACATTTATCACCGAAGATAGCACACCTGAAAAAAATTTTGAGGCTCGCTAGACATTTTGGCACTGCATGACACAATTTGAGCAAATTTCAGGGTTTTAGCCCAGCTCGGTGCAACAATCGGGAATTGTATCAAATTGACGGAATGGGCGCCCCTGCATATGCCTTCAACATTTCAGGTAATTAAATTGATCTAGTGTTCCTCAGTTTTTTTGCTCCAATCGGCTCAGGATTCCTGATGTACAATACACTATTCCCAATGCACATTATCTCTATACATGTCCACAGTATATTTCCATGATACTGTCGCACTGCTTTTTGAAAAAACCATACCATGCTTTCTTTGTTGATCTGTTTAATTTTGATGGGCATGCACACACACTTGCTTGAAAATTGACTCCACCTAATGAACTTCCAAGTGCAGCTGATTTACTCATTTACACTGACCATGAAATATTTCCTTGAATCATTCAATATGTCTACAATCCACCAAAAGCAGACGGGCCAGGTTAGCACAACAAGAACAAAGATGTCCTACACTAACAACCATAATTTGTAACATTGGGTGTTGCTCAAGCCAATGTTTTGACAAGCGGACTTGTTTTCCTTGCACCTGCAACTGGAAACCTTAGCACATACGTGGATGTTTAGAACACATACACATGACAACGCCGCAACATAAACAGGTCTGCCTGTAACTCTGAAGTTCACATTTCTACAAATCTGACCAATAAGGCATGAAAGAATCAACAATAGACAGCTGAATAGACAAAAAGTGAAAGACGGCAATCTTACTCTGACTTTGACAGGAACTCCACCGATCTATGAGATGAAGTTGTGGGGAGGGAAATTGACACCACCTGCAGAGACAACAGAAGAAAGGCTCATTTTTTTTTTTTTTTCGGTGATTGATTCATGAGGCGATAAACTCCAGTAATTATTTAGAACCACCAGTAACGACTACTTGAAAAAGTGGTTACAGAACCCTTTAAGGCACCTCCTAGTTTGACCGATGTAATGAGCATTGCATTATAAGGTAATCCAGTAAACTACTTTTATGCTGCCTTTGACAAACAAGGTTTTGAGCCTGACAGTGCAAAAACATTGGTGCTTATTGCCAGAGCACGTCACCCTATTCAACTAGAAGACCTTGGTTCTTTAAACTAGGTAGATGTCAGCCAGGGAATAATAACTGCACAGGTACAATTACACATCAAACAGCAAACACCCGGTTACACAAATCTTATGGGGTCACCAAAAATATTCGCAGCATCTAAAATTCGTATCAACAGAAACCATGGAAAATTAGAATGAAACAAAAGAAAGCTGGCAAACGTTTTCATTTATTGTTTTTCAGGGCTGCAACATCGTCATGAAGAGGTTTGAATGATTGCCAGTAAATTTTTCAAAAGAAGACTTATAATCTACATTATATGGTGCACGTAATTAATGAACCAGGTGTGTTGTGACCTGTCACAGCCCTTTCCCAATCTTTGTATGCTTTTCAACATGATACCAGAGTACTGTGGCAGAAGAGACTTAAAGAGCACTCTGCACACAATGGAGAAAGCCAGCAAAGTTCAGAACTGCTGTTCTTTGTTGTTAATATCTTACTGCAGTGGTAGTGAGCATGTTTTTTGAGATATTTATGGCCATGCACGCACTATCGAGACATTCGCTCAAAACTAGTGCGTCTCCTGTACAAGCCAGAAAGATGGCAAGTGTGTGCGTGCCTAACTGTCGTGCATAACTGTATAGCCTAGATCCTTTGCCAAGACTGTCCACTTTCTCTTTCAGTCCTCGTCCACCTTTCATGTAATGTTTGAATGCGAGGACATAGCTTGCATCAACGTGACAGGCATGCGTGAATGCTAAACATAAAGGCACACAAATTCACATGAGGGCCTCCAAGATTCACGGGCATAATCTCGAAGGCTTCAGCGCATTTGCTGGTAGTTTATTCTGACAAACTGATAGGGCAGCGCACATGCCTGCGTTTAGGTGCCCGCACCCACTCTTGCATGTCCTTGTTTTCAATAGTGCCCCTCCAAGCAGGCATAGGTAGCATGTGACTAGGGTACTTACCGATTTGGCAAGCCTCCGCCGGCCAGACCGAATGGCTCTGCCACCCTGGAGAGAGAGAGAGAGAGAGAGAGAGAGAGAAACAGAGCAGCGATGAGTTGCCACTAGTTCACTTGCATCGACGCCATCTATCTGGCCGCACTCCGCGAAAATCCCCCTGCCATGAACCAGAAGGCACTGGGTTTGGGCTAGTTGGTACTGATTTGGGCTAGTTGGTACATTATGTAAGCGCTAACGGCATGTACGTAAAACGAGCAAAGGACACAGGACAAGCGCTACTTTCAACTGAAATTTTATTGGAAGAGAACACTAAATATATATCTTTCTTTATTGGTCTTTCATTCTTTTGTTTTCATGATTTTTCTTTGAGGAGGCCACGCCTATATATTTGGTGTTCCCTTCCAATAAAATTTCAGTTGAAAGTAGCGCTTGTCCTGTGTCCTTCGATCGTCTTGCCTTCAGCACTTACATAAGTTATGGGCCATGAACCACATTTCTACACCTCAAGCCACACATACCTGCACCTTCATTCTTTCTGTGATGTTTAACAGCCAGCTCAGACTGGCTTCAGACTGAAAAGTATAGCAAATTTCAAAAGTTAGCATATTTTAATGCTTATAACTTGGGACATACCGCAAACTGAATTTACTGCCACTTCAAGTTAAAAAAGTGACATCCGCACACACCAAGTTTCAATTCTTAAAAATATTGTGCAAGCTAGTTGGGTCACAACAAAAATGCTGATTTTTCTCAATAATATGCAATATATACCAATAGATTCGAAGTTATTGGACGAAATTTCTATTCACTTAGAATTCACTTAAACACTCGAGTTTACTATTTGCCCATCTCGGCACGAGCTCTTTTGCGAAATTCATTTGTGATGTGCTTTCCTATTCACCCGATTATGGTAAAGGTAATTTGTGACGTTTTTTTAATATTTAAACAGATTGATCAGAGCTTGCCACGATACTAAGTCTGGCTCCAACGTGGTCAATTACATCGAAAGAGCTTTACTTCACCTCAAAGGGCTCGACTAAGGAGCGCGGAAAGCTGGCATGCAATGTGCTGAGTGGTGGCACTCTAGGATGATGCACAATATGCCTAGCTGCGGCAACAAAAAATTGCATGTGTATTTGGTAAGCCTGCGTGTGGTCACAATTTCGAGGTGCCAATACGGGGTGGTCGCTGCGTCAAGAAGTTGGCCGAGGGGTCGACTGCAAATGTGCAAAATGCTCATACATAGTTTTAAGGTGCTGGTGGGTGATGTGATTCAATGCTTGAGATAAACCACACTGTGGCTTCTTCACTTTCACATGTCTACTAGCATGATGTCTTCACCCATAAAGGTAAGGTTCGTCTCATATACTCAGTGCTATGATTGGAGTTGAGCCTAGCCATGACTTCTAGCAGCAAGCTCAGCCTTCATGTTTGTGGTCACCATGCCCGATGTTTCAAAGTACGTCGCATTCAATAGGGAGTACAAAAAGCCGTCTCATGATGGTCTTTGTCAAGAAGTCCAAAATGCCAATAAGTAAAACCTCTAACTCCAGAATCTGTCATGTTAATCAAGCAAGTCGAACTAGCTGCAAATTACTATTTTACCATATGGAACTATACTCTCATATATAGAAAACAAACAGATAAATCTACAAAGGGTAAACTAAAGAGCCACTAGCACGATGTATTTCGGTCAGCCTGACCAAAAATAGGTATAGTTTTCATTAATCAATCAAAACCTGTGAAGCACCTAATGAGTCCATGCACTAAAGTCTGGTCAGAGGAATCCTCACATGCAAGAGGATGGGTATGGCTCACTAGAGCGTTGTGCACTTGATGGAGAAAATGCAGCGGTGGCATTTGGTGAGCTCAGGCCTTAGCCTGATGGCGCGCTCCCGCTCCCCCATAGATGCCATCATTTGTGGCGCTTTTTTTCGTCCGAGCACCAGTACGACGCAGTACCACGCCGTGCCACAACCTCAGCAAAAGCCACGGTGGTAGAACGGTCGCCAGACCTTCGTGAAGTCTTTCGTTGGCTAGGTGGATGCCTTGAAAGCCCAGGCACAGGCACAAAATTAGCTCGCACCCTAGCCACGTTTTTCAAACAGCTGGCCCGACTCTTCTTCTTCATCCTTCTCCAGTCCACTGGTTCTGGAATCTGTCTTCATTTAGCTTGAGTTTTTCTCCCTTTTTGATGCTTCAGTGCTCGGCTCGTGCAAGTAGCATGTTTTATATCGTCCTTGTCGTTTCGAATAGCCAAAATTTCAGTGCAAATCGAATCCAATAGCAATTAGAAAAATTTTTGAAATTTTTAATATTTGCACACCCTGTTATACCGGAGCAAAGGCAAGAAAAGTGTTCCTGATAACAGCTGCGGAATCAACCACACTTTCCTCTACACCGAATTCAAAAAGGCAATTTTTTATCAGATGCTGTTATCACGTAAAAAAACTTGCATTGGTTAGAGTGGAAGATGCATAAATGCTTACCTTAGGGAACATGAGTATTCTCTGTTAAACACAAAGCCATTTTCCCTCACCGCCCATTTGTAGAAATGGGGCTGCGCACTTTTCTTTAGCAGCACCACGATACAGTCGGACCCCACTACAACGAAACTGACAGGGCACGAAAAAAAGCCCTCAAAAGAAACAGTTTGCACCTTTTCAAGCATTGTTTTGAAAGATACGCTGACAGGAACTTTTATTCCTAAAATTCAAAAAGTGTCGGCTGCTTCTTTTTCTTTCCCAGCAGCGTCACGACATGATTCCCACACATGCATAGCAACACCATTTTGAAAGCACACCAACACAACGGCTTCCATGAATGAATTAAACAGTTGTACTATGTGGGAATCGAGAGCGCCTTCCTACCTGGCGCCTCATTCCCCAGCTGCCGCACGCCCGCTGACAGCGTAGCTCGGACGCGCATAAGCGCCGGCATCCGTCAAGATGGCTGCCAGGGCGCCTCTTGGTCTGGGCCAGTCAACCGTCGGCTCCTTCTCGCGCTGGCATGTCCGGGCACGCTGCGCTGGCGCGCTGCGCGGGCCTACGTCACAACGCAGTGCCATTTCCCATTGGGCGCGCGTGACATCCTTCTCTCCTACGAGCTGTGTTGTGCCCGACGATTCGCTCGTCGTGGCAGATGCTCTCAGGCCTTCATGAGAGATTGACACGCTGCTAAGCAGGCGGCTTCTCGTTCGTGCGTTCGACTTCGGCCCTTGTGCGGGAGTCGTCGCGCCCTAGGCAAGCGTACTTGTTCGGTCTTGCCGAGTTCCTTATACGGCCTGCAAGCCCGTGAGTGTCGCACTCTGCTGCATCTTGGGTTAATAAACCCGTTATTGTTGTTAGCCTGCCTCGTGCGTGGTTTCTGCGCCATGCCAGAGAAATCGAGGAACCCGGCCGCAGCGTCTTCGCACGCAGGGGCAGTGGAGGACGTCGCAACCCTACACGTTTGCACTTGGTAGGTAAGCCTTGTGCAAACCTATCTCCACAACTATTAGGCTAATACCAGCAGCTGTCCACTGCCAAAATGTATTTGACAACATCAAAATGCAGGCATAGTGTGATGAAGTGGTGACTTATGCCTTACTCTATGGTATTTTTATCATCCACCATTTGCCGCTGGCTGATTTTGCTGATAATTATGACGAACTCTGAACAGTGACCACACTGGCCAAATACAAAAAGAATGAAAAGCATTGGCATGGGAAAAGGCATTGTTCCGCGATTGCGCTTAGCAGCAGTGTGAGTGACTAAGCTTTGGTTTCAGATTGTCTGTGGCTAAGAAGCAAGCCAGAGGCAAAAGCAGAGCAGTCTCATTGCCATCACTATCAAGCAACGACGACCCCTATGCTCAGTAGACAGTGGCAGTTCCTGGTGGTGCAAACATGCTACTTAGACTTTGTAGATAATGCAACAAGCGTTTTCTTCAGAAGAGTTACAGCAAGAGACACCTGAAGTCAAGCAAGAAAGCTGCAGCACAGAAAATAGGAGCCAAGACCCCAACGCATGAACGTCGTCATCTTTTATTTCGCTTGTACAGAGCTGGCACCGATGTGACAATTTTTTCCCTGCAACAAGAGGAGCCATCCTGGCGGCTTAAGGGAAAAGACGCTATATGTGGGTCACAGCAGGGTTTAAGTCGAGTGACATGAACTGTTTCGCGGCATCAGCAGCGATGATCGGGCGATGGGTCGACCGGCTCAACGACGATGTTTGCTCCAGTATGCGGCAAGGACTGTGGTACCGTGACAAAAGCTTGGTGGAAAGTCCGGGAGTTGTGGACGGAACCCAAAGCCTTTCCTGAGGAGTAATGGGCACCAGACGCAGAGGTGTCACGACGGAATTTTTGGCGCAACTGATCTTGCAAGACGATAGTTATAATGCAAGAACAAAATGACGACACAGAGACAAGAAGGACACAAAGGGCATGAGCGCTAACTTCCAACTGATTTTATTGCGCTGAGCGCGAAATTATATAGAGGAGACAGTAACCATGTGACAAAAACCATATGGCACAAAGAGCAAAACATGAGTAAAGACAAAAAAAAAAAAACAAAAAACACAGAAAAAGGTAAAGAAAAGTCTATACGGAAACGAAACAGCAAAGTAAAGTTAATATAACCACTTGCACGCACCAAAACCTTCGAGTAACCTTAGTTCCTTCTCGAACAGAGACATGGAGGGCTTGCTAATGCATGACACCTGTTCACGTGCCATCTGCGCGGCCTCGACGATGACTCGGGTGCGCTCATCCTTGTCCTTGTACAGCGTCGCTGTGTCCTTGAAAAGAGCACACGGTTGCACTCAGTGCAGTGCTGAGCAAAAAACCATCTTTCTTGTTTCTAACATTGTTAGCGTGTTCTCTCAGTCGATCGCTCAGACACCTTCCGGCCGTTCCGACATAACAAACACCGCATGAAAAGGCGGGTCCTATAGACAACTTCCCAGGAGCATGCCGCATACCTGTTTCTATGCTGAACTCTGCATTCTGTTGATGACTGTGTTTTCAGGGGGTTTGTAGATTTAGTGAGGCTGATTAATTTGAAT